AGAGTAAGCCTGAATTCAATTTAAATTAATCAATAGTTCATAATTAATTAATTATTTATATTTGTAATTATTTTTCAAATTCGATCAATGTAATGTATAATGCAGTAATGCGTGATAAGCATAAGTTTGGATTAGTGTTAATTATTAGTAACATAATTTATACAATTAATATTTTACTATAATATTATAGAAGTCTAACCAAATGAGATAAAATATCTTTTGAAGGGATCTTTTATCTTATTTTTTAACAATTATATTAAAATTAGATTTTGCAAGCAAATTTGCTTGTATGATATATTAAGAGATAATACCTGGGTGTTACGAAAGAAAACTAGCTTCTAGCTTCTAAATTTATTTTCTTTTAAACTCAATCACTATAAAATCTAGTATATTTAGTCTAATAAATTATAAACTTCAAGTAGTTTCATGTACAAAATTTAAGAGAGTATATTATAAAAATTACTTTTACATTTTATATAATTTTTTACTTAAAACTTAGTAACTTAGATTTCATACAATTTTTTATATGATATATTAATTCCTTTTATTAAAGTATATTCAATTCTTAGATCTATGATTTTCTAGTAGTATAATTTTTTCCTTAACAAAGTAAAATTTTTAAACTTTGCTTAGATTATTTTTTTTGAGAGATGAGTATTTTTTGTAACAAAAATCTATACAGAATTTTTAGAATTTTCTGAATATTTTCAAATTTCTTAAATATTTCTGAAACCTTGTTAATTTCTAAATTATAATTTTTTGCTAGATAAAATTATAATTAGAAAATTAACAAGATTTCAGAAATATTCAGGAAATTTGAAAATATTTATAAAATTCTAAAGGTTCTATATAGATTTTTGTTATGAAAAATGCTCATCTCTCAAAAAACTAATCTGAGTAATCAAATATTTTGTATTACATGAAAGAAAAAATATAAATTTAAATTTCTTTTTAATAATAAGTTATTTTAAAATAATTTTTTTTTATCCGGTAGATGACTATGATCAGACTGCCGAATAATTTTATTATTCGGCAATTCTCGAGTTTAAAATAGTTTATTTTATTATTCGGCAGATTAGTGTTTTGCATAACTAAAACATGTTATCAGATGTCATTTTTTTTTATTTACTATGACCATATAGGTATTTTTATAAGGCTTGAATTTTTATATTTAATTTTACATATTATAACCTATCTAAACAATATATTAATTAATTGTAACATTATCAGCATTTATATAATAGTTTTTAATGACCACATTTCCATTCGATTCTTCTTCAGAAGTTTGATAATTATGCTTGTACAATTGCCGTAGTCCACCAAGTGTAGGATCATTTTTTGTTGCATTAATATGAGGCGGGAGATGTAAAGGTTGGTTAAGATTTTTTAATGGTATACGAAAAGGTCTTGTGACAGAATTCCAGCCTTTGACCGAACTACTTGATACTTTATTAGATAGATTAGATGCCGTTGAACTTGAATTTTCCTAAAAAAAAAAAAAAGGTAAAAAAAATTTTTTTTAAAGCATAATCGATTAATAAAAATACCTTTGGTTCTGAAAATTCAGCCTGATTATTACAAGTAGCAGTAGTAGATAGGTCTTTTGTATGAATCTGATTTAAATTAACAATTGTTATTTATTGTTATATAATAATAAATTTAGATATATAATAAACACTTACATCATCTTGCTTTGAAGGTAACTCAATATTATTGATTAAAGTTGATAATGCATCCTCTTTTTCTTTTCCAGAAGGTCTTGCATAAACCCTATAGGAAGCTTCACTTTTGTGACCCGTTAATGCCATAGTTGTTACCATTGGAACGCCTTTTCTAAATAAGGCAGTTATAGATGTTGATCGTCCAGAATGATTGGTAATACTGCGATTCTTAGTATCAATACCGATGATGTTACAAATATTTTTCATGAATGATTGACATAATTTTTCACCAATTCTACTGTCGCAGTACCATGATTCTTGGGAATTATCTAAATTAAATTAGTTTATTAGTAATTAATAGCAATAACAATTCTAATATAATTATAATTAATGTAATAAATAAATTGTAAATATATACTTACATTTAAATTTATGATTAATTCGAAGATGTAAATAGGGACATTCACAGTCTTCAGGGCGTTTAGAAAAATAAAGTTTTAGATCATGAATGGGGCCTTGAGATTCAGGTAGATCAGGTGGTACAGGTATTACTAAACCAGAATTATCACTTTCAATACCCCCTTGATCATTCTTTTGCGAGTATTTAGTGAATTGCAACCCTCCATTCGAAGTAAAGACAAATTGTGATATTTTAATCAAATAGTATTCACCACCTCTAGATTGAAATAATAGACAACACCATATGAAGATACGATATTGTAGACCTTGAGGACTGTCAATAGAAATTGAATCATGCTGAAATATTTTTTGTATTTCTTCATCTGTTAAATTATCGTGATGCTTTACGATTGTTCCAGATTTTTTCAATTGCTTCAATTTTCCATTTAACGTAGACCACAACAATCTAAATTCTTTTTTATTTGATAAAGTAAATTGTCAATTTCCATTAGGGTGATTAAGAAGATATAAACTCAACAGGTTGATACAATTAATAAGGGAAGAAGGTGCGTATTCTGCAGAATTTTTAACTTGACTATTAATAGTCTCAAAAACAACAAAATACTTTTTATTGAACAAATCATTATAGCTGACAATAATTATCT